GTAGCATCTTTCAGAATAACCCTAGATGGAAATAACCCAAGCTTCCACGAGCTAAGGAAGAGCCATGAACAAATGTGGCCTCTCCACCGAGCAGAGCATCGTCCAGCTGCAAAGCGTGAAGCCCTGCTCCATGTCACCGTGTGGACGAGCCTCCAAAACACAGCATCTGGGGAAGAAAGCAGACACAGAGGGTGGTCTCGTGTGGGAAAGGCGGGGGCAGTGCTGGCTGCACAGCGCGGATTCCCCACCACCGACCTGTACACTTACGTTGAGGGCATTTTATGCTCTAAAAATTACACATCAATAAAACAGTTTTAGAAACAGACTCATAGGGTAAAGGGAGCACATTACTTCATACTTTGTGATCCCCACATGTGTACAAAACAGCTCCAGCCCTGACAGACAGCAAATGAAACAGGAGGGAAAACGATAGCACGTAATAGTATCAAAGACAGCAATCATCCAGGAAGAGAACTAAAAACATCCAAGAGCACAGCACAAAACACCTACAAAGGCCGGGCCTGGTGGCTCACGCCTGTCATCCCAGCTAGTCGGGAGTCTGAGGCAGGAGCATCGCTTGAACCCGGGAGGCAGAGGTGGCAGTGAGCTGAGATGGTGCCACGGTACTCCAGCCTGGTGACAGAGCAAGACTCCATTTAAAAAAAGAAAAAAGTCTACAAAAACACGAGAGATGCAAATCCTAGGTAAAGGAGGACATACTGTATGGCCCCAGGTCGGAAGACGTCCCAGACTGCAGCACCACTCAGAATTTGGCTTTGTGTTGCAAAGAACTGGGAAGAGCCAAGACGCTCTTGAAGAACAAGGCCATACGCTACCAGGTGTCAGAACCTCCTGAAAATCACAGAGAAGCCCCATCCCTACCAAAAAAAACCACAAAAATTATCTGAGCATGGTGACACACACCATGCCTGTAAGTTCCAGCTACTTGGGAGGCTGAGGTGGGAGGATCACCTTAGCCAGGGAGGTCAAGACTGCAGGAAGCCAAGATGGCACCACTGCACTCCAGCCTGGGAAACGGAGCAAGACC